TAAAAGTACTTACATATTGGGTCCTTATTACTTTTACCCGTAAACCCAATCCCACTGTCTTTCACTACAAATTACAAGACACTACTATAAAGAGATTACAGTCAGTAAAGGATCTTGGTGTATTTTTCGATTCTAAATTACTCTATGATGCACATATTGACAATATCATTAAAAAAGCCAATAGAGCACTTCTTCGGATTCTTTTTGAGATTTTCCACTGATTTTCATAATATTAAAACATATAAGATACTTTATTGCGCTCTTGTTCGCAGCCATTTAGAGTACGCCTCTCAAGTGTGGAATCCAAATTATAACATTTATATAGATAGGATTGAGCAAGTACAAAAGCGTTTTCTACGTTTTCTGCAACTTAAGACGCAATTTTACACTAATAACTACATTTCACGATGTAAAAAATTTCATATTTTGCCTCTGCACGAACGTAGGCGCATAGCAGATATGATATATCTTTTTAAATTCGCAAATGGTAATACTGACTGTCTGGAGCTACTGAGTAAATTAGGCTTTACAACAAGTGCTATTAAGACCTCGCTTACTCCACGTGCCGCATACCCGGAATAAATACAGACAAAATTCTTTTAAGATACGTTCGTGCAGAACTTTTAACGACATTTCCAATAGCGTTGACTTGGATCTGTTTAGCACCAGTGTTTTTCGAATCAAAAATATTTTAGTGAAAAAATTCTTTTGTTGAGTGTTTTTCCGTTTAATCTAATTAATTTACTGTATTTCTCTTAATCGATGTTTATCTTTTACCGACTAGAATTATTGTTTTTAAGTTCATATTATCTATAGGTGAAAACTTTTAAATGGCCTTCTAGTTGTTATTCATTTATTTACTGTTGATGTTAGCTGTAAGTTTTCCAATAAGAATAAAATAAAAATAAAAAATAAAATTATATACGAAATTAGCGTTTTGTCGTACTGACCACGTTGATCTAAAATATCTCCTCTTTGGTTAAGAATTCCAAATTCAAATTTATAAATTCATTTAGCTGGTACATTTGAGTTTAGAAAACAGTTATTCATTTGTTTTTTCCTCATTAGTTTTTTCTTTGGCGTCGCTTATCACCGCACAATGGAATACATGAAATATCGGTATATTTACGAGTACAAGTTCTACTGTGGTACCAGTGCTGCAGAAACAGCTCGAAGGCTTAATGATGTGTACGGCACTGGTGTCGCAAAAGAAAGCACGCTACGTTTTTGGTTTCAACGTTTTTGTTCTGGAAATTTCGACCTTCAGAACTAACCACGTGGACGGCCGGAGACCAAAGTGGAAAATGAAGAATTAAAGGCTATTGTGGAAGCGGATCTATCACAAACCACTTCAGAGATAGGGGTAAGTGATAAAACTGTATTAATCCACTTGAAACAAATCGGGAAAGTATGGGTATCTCATGAATTAAGTGAATCGAACTTGCAAACACGCGTTGACTGCTGTGTTACTTTGCTCAGTCGACTCAAATGTACCAGCTAAATGAAGGGATTTTAAATCGAATCATTACTTGTGATGAAAAGTGGATAATGTACGATAATCGGAAGCGCTCGTCGCAATGACTGAACCCTGGAGACCCAGCCAAATCCTGCCCTAAGCCAAAATTGACTCAGAAAAAGTTACTTGTGAGTGTTTAGTGAACTAGCGCCGGTGTCGCTCACTACAGATTTCTAAAATCTGGCTTAACGATTACGGCAGATATCCATTGTCAGCAACTGCAAACCATGAACGAAGAACTAGCTGCTAAACAACCGAGATTGATCAATCGCTCTAGGCTACTACTTCTTTACGACAACGCAAGACAAACAACCATTAAGTCAGATGAGCTACAATTGGAATGTCTGCGACATCCACCGTACTCCCCGGACCTCCAACAGATTGCCATTTTTTCCGGAATTTGGACAAACTTCTTACAAGGAAAAAATTCAACTCCGATGCGGCAGTCCAAACCACCTTCTAAGAGTTTATTGATTCTCGCCCCAATGGTTTTTCTAATAAAGGTAAAAAAATAAAATCAATGAACTACCTATGGCAAATAATGGCAAAAGTGCAGAGATAACAATGGTGCATACTTTGATTAACTAAATATATTTTACAAAAAAATTTACTTTATATTCCTCCCGTAAAAAACTCCTATTTCATATGTAAGGACCTATTATTTATTAATTCCGACGAATTAACTAACTTTAAAGACAATTAAAGTTCTTATAAAAAAAACCCTTCCTTCCTAATTAACAGTTGTCGGTTTGTTAAAACGCTATAATATGATTTTCAGCTTACTGATCCATTGGTCGTTGGGCTATGTCAGTTGATATTGAATTAATCTATTTTTACGGATTTTATAGCGTTTAATTTATTAATATTAAAATTTTAAAATATTCGTAGAAGCATAAAGCAAGTAAAGAAGCATACTATCTATTGACTATCTAAGGTCTCAGAAGTGACCACGCATCGCAGCATGTCCCAGAAAGAATAGATAATCCTGGAGCACCTAATAGTACAGGTATCAGGCGCTCAAATAAAAATACAAAGAAAAATATATTTCAAGTGGTGCCAAAAATATGAAGGTTTAAAAAAAATATGATTTTATTGACCTTACAGTACTTTTATGTTCACCACAGCTGTAAATTAAAGAAATTCGTTGCGTTTTTGGTGTTATCTAATTCCTCGTTCTATTAGAAATACAGTAAGGAGTGTATTTTGAACAAAAAAAAAAACTTCAATTTTTGTTATGGGGAATGCCTACGTTCGCCTGACCTGTAACGATATCGGTACTTAAAACTAAAATTACTTAGGGCTGATTTTTCATTCATCAGATAAAACAAATTCAAGAGATAAAATAAAACACAAACAAATTAAGTATTACAGTTTTATGAATAAAACAGTTCAATTGTTTTACTCTTATATTCGTTCAGTTTATAAAATTATAATTTAAAGCTTGCCAGGCAGACATTGTTCTGCCTTTTTCGACGACCCTGTCATGTCCTATTAAAAATCCTTAAATTTGCAAAAAAAAATTGGAGGTCACTCATGTGCAAAAAAACTATCCTGTCTCTCAAGTTGGACCAAACTGCACACGGTGTGCAAATTTAATTAAAATTGGTTAAGTAGTTTAGGAGTCCACCGCGGACAAACAACATGACACGTAATTTATGTATATTAAAATATTATTTTTGTAAGCAGGGAGCTGCTTAATACAATTTATGGTTAAGTTCAATGTAATAAGTATAAAAAGATTTTCTACGAGTAACTTGACTATATGCTTACGAAAATAAAAACTAGCACATTTTAACAAGCTCAACAGTAACACGAACAAGAGTTTTATGTGAAATTATTTTTACTACACGGCCCACCTCTCCGCCATTCCTGTTTGTCCAACAGTTTGTCTAACATAGTGTATAACACGCAAGTGCTAATGATACAGCAGGTGTTATTTTGCACTGGCTTAATGAGTCATACCTTTGTCTTGCTGAAGTAAAATCGGACAAAAAGAAACTGGAGTAAATCATTAAACTTATTTGTTTTGATTTTATTTACTAGAATACAAAATTTTGCCGTTTAGTTCATTGCCGCTTACACTCATTGTTAATATTTGAATTTTCTTTGGACTATTCAATTTTGTAAGGAAATATTATGAGGTCTTTTAATAGTTGCTTCGTATTTGTTACATACTACTAGTAGTGAACCAGTGAGATGCTTAAGCTTAGCTGCTTTCTGGTTATCGGGAAGTCACAATCAAGAAGGCACGTATAGTCTCGTTCAAATAAGAAAAAAAAATACACTTCGGCACTTTAAATTTCAAGATGGTGTTCTCCCGGCTTATTTTAAAGCCAGCGAGAAGCAAATTTTTTATATCAACCAAAAATATACCTACCTAACATAATACTTACCTAACTTTGTACTAAATAACGCTTCATTCGTCATTTATTTTAAGTTCACTGCTGTACGTTGTCCTCCGCCATATATTGCCTCATATCCCTCTTGATATTTCGCGCAGTTTTTCATTGTTTTCACACCCACGGTATGATATGCGGTAGTAGATTTCATAAGCCGCTACTAAGCAGCGTTAATATAACGTTTGTGTTTATTTTATTTAGATTAAACCAAATTGGATGCATCAAGATACGAAAACTAATAATTTTTATTTTATAAATAATGACAATGCTGGAACTAGTTGGATCAATCATTCATCATCATCATTACAGACTAAAAAAATGCAGTTTTTCATTTTCTTGTGGTAATTAGAAAACGCTGCTACCCATCTCCTGGTATATTTGCCTCAGTAGCCTCTTACGAAACCAAATAGCATAGAAATATTTGATAGGGAAGAATTAAAAAATGCGAGGAAATTTATTTTACGGATAGCTTAAAATAATTTTATGAACAGTACACGATAGCATGTTTGTTTTGAATCTGTATACAAAATACTGACGGTGCTACTTCTAAATGTGATAACTGCAAAAATCTTTGAGTATTCAACCAACAAAAAAAGCACGGTAAATCAATTAGACAGTCGGGTGTCGGGACAAATAACTGTCGCCATGCAGTCTCCTCGCGATCATTGCCTGCTTCATATCTCACGATACCATCCTTATATATAATACTCGTTACAGTAGTACCTCTTGTTTATGCACGACTGATGCGGCTTGGAAAAATGCTTATCAAACAGGGCACGTCGTTTCTGTTCTTATTTGCTTCCTATTTTAATTTTCCTGCTTATTGAATGAGACCTGCACGAATTGATGTTGTGGTATTCTCTATTACAATGTTTTGATATTCACAAGTTACAAGCAAGAATTGTTGCGAAGATAATTATTGTATTCTATAATTAATTGTATATAATATTTTTATTGTTACAAATGTTAAATATAAATCAAAAGATCTTTACATTTCAGTGTATCTTTTGAATATTTTAAATTGTCTGTCGTTTTATGAAATACGTTAGAAATATAATTTAGTAATTTTAAAATAATTGGCGTAGGAATACGAAGAAGAGGGTCGTCGGTCGAGGAGACATTCTTCTCCATGCAACTCCAAAGAGGGCAGCACTACCGCTTTACATACACAACACTACGATGATACGGTAAGTAATTTAACATACGAGTAGTAGTAATCGAAAAAATACGTTCATTTCTCTAATAAGAAAGCTCACTTGAACTAACAGACATTATTGTACTTATATATATCAATAAAGTTTTAAATTTTAGTCTATGAATTTCGCAGTCATACATAGAAATTTTCATTTACTAGATATAATTGGCAGTATTAATATGTTCATGTAAACATATTATTATAGTCGATTTTAATCACATTTACATATTAACTATCACGATATGCAATGTCCATTGAGAACCCGCTTTTTACAACTTGGCACCGATGTTGAGATACAATCGTAATTTAGCATACAATGTCATTAATGTTTTGTTGATAAAGGGTTTTTTGTAAATAAATTTCTCTAAGCTCTTGATCAATCAGAATTATATATAGACATCTACATTTATCCTCGATTACGAAACAAAATGCAGATGCGTTGACACCCGTGAGACCTAATATGGAATGCCTCGTTTCCAGTAAAAAGGGTCTTCGGTTTTTTACACTCACCATACGAAACACTATTTTACGCGGTATTCTGTGAGAGCGTGTCCTTCCCGGGTAATTTCTTTATTAATATAACTGCAGCATCGCTAAAACACCACCTAATAAAATTATCGTTTAGACTGAAACTAAAATACTCTAGGAACAACAATGCCTCAGTTGTCATTAACTGTATCACATCTAATATTGATTGTTTGCGCCATCAGTATGCCGATGACCTACAAACTATGTACAATACAATATTGACGACATGTATTTATAACGTCATTGATAAAGTAAATCCACTTATGTTTATCACATTTAGGGTTATTAGTTTTTCATTTTTTATAAATAGTTCACTGTGATGAAAATGATCCTTGCATATTTTAAATAAATTCTGATAAATTCTTGTATATTTTGCAGAACTATTCTTTCTCGCCTAATTATTAAAGTAGTATTTCAAAGTATTTCACCAATATTGTTGGTAAAACATTTAGATGTACCTTTCACGCTTAAACAAGATCACTTCTCAGTGTCTCCTTGCCCTAATACATTGAATGAAAAAATTTAAAAAGGACTTAATAAGACTATCTTTACAACAATAATACGGGAATACTCTATAACTTGTGTGTATATACTCTATAACTTGTGTTATATTAGCTTACCAGGCAGACGTTGTTCAGCCCTTTTTGATGATTTCAGATTCGCAAAAAAAAAAATTGTGAGACACTCATAGGCAAAAAAACTATCCTATCTCTCAAGTTGGACCAAACTGCACACGGTGTGCAAATTTTATTAAAATCGGTTAAGTACTTTAGGAGTTCATTGCGGACAAACAACGTCATACGGAATTTATATATATTAAGATAATGTTTTATACGTAACAATATTATGGTGTAGATATCATAGGTAGAAAAGAGTAATAAATAAATAAATGAAATGAATAGCCACATTTACTCCGTGTCCTGCATTCACTTGTACTTTCTTTATCCTTGTCATATCTAATTTCCCTAATAAATACACATAATAAGTACACAGACTTATTCACTTGTCTTAATTAAAGACCCTTCTATATTACTTTCTTCTCTTTCAAATACCATCACTTTCGTCTTATTTGCATTCACTTTTATTCCCTTTTTTTTTAATGACCGGTTTATTAATGTAACCAACATTTGCAACTTTTCCGCCGATGATGTAAATATGTCTTTATCGTGGGCGTACAAAGGGGCATTTGACGATTAACTCACCCATTCTTACCCCCACATTGTTTAACTATCAAATTTTCCCAACGACTGTCCATAAATTATTTTACATCCATGGCGAAGCTACACAACCCTGCCTCACACTTTATCAGTTTATCACACTTTATCGTGGGCGTACAAAGGGGCATTTGACGATTAACTCACCCATTCTTACCCCCACATTGTTTAACTATCAAATTTTCCCAACGACTGTCCATAAATTATTTTACATCCATGGCGAAGCTACACAACCCTGCCTCACACTTTATCACCTTATCACACTTTATCGTGGGCGTACAAAGGGGCATTTGACGATTAACTCACCCATTCTTACCCCCACATTGTTTAACTATCAAATTTTCCCAACGACTGTCCATAAATTATTTTACATCCATGGCGAAGCTACACAACCCTGCCTCACACTTTATCAGTTTATCACACTTTATCGTGGGCGTACAAAGGGGCATTTGACGATTAACTCACCCATTCTTACCCCCACATTGTTTAACTATCAAATTTTCCCAACGACTGTCCATAAATTATTTTACATCCATGGCGAAGCTACACAACCCTGCCTCACACTTTATCACTTTATCACACTTTATCGATGTCTTACCAGTCCGTGTAGACCCTTTTGATGCTGTTGACACAAGCACTAGAGTCCCTATATAGAGACTCTAAAGCATATAACAGCCCAGCGTTTAAACTCAACGAGTCCAGTGTTTTCCATAAAGCAACCTTGTCCACTTTGTCTTAAGCCGTTACTAAGTCCATAAATGCACAGAAAACTTACTGGTTCTTGTTAAAAACTTCTCTGTGATCATTCTCATAGAAAAGAACTGATCTGTATACCTCGTCCTCTTTCTAAATCCAACTTACACACCCCAAATTTTACTGCCAGTTTTTTTTGTATTACTCTTTCATCCACACCTTACCATACAGTGTTTTCACTATGCTAGTAAGCTAAATTCCACGGTAGTTTCTACAGTCCTCCTGTGACCCTTTTCCCTTATATTGTAGGATTAAAACAACTTTGCACTCCCGCTAAAAAGTTTACAGCATGCCTGCCACCACTTCCTTTTCAGTCCTTAGCGTTTCTTGTGATATTCCTTCATACCCCTTTTACCTCCTTGCATTTTTGCTTTCATTTTACAATTTACATCCATACTTAATACTTATCTTACTACGTCGTTCCTCTTCTTTTGGAGTTTCTAGTTTATTTCATTCAGACATCTCCTTACACTTAAAATTATGAATTCTTTAATTAACGATGCTATACCGCATAAGGTCAAGAAAATGTTTAATTTATACTTACACGCCGTAAGGGAGAAAATAACAAGTCTTTACGAAATACTACTCGTATTTAACCATCAATGGCGCAACGTGATTTCACTGACAGACGGAAACGATTTTCCGAACTGATAATGGCGTTAAATTCATTGAAATATGTCTGTATATCTAATCCCGCAGACTGCAAAATTATGAGCTCTACTCTCACCAATTTGAAGATTTGCCCATACTCACGCATGTAGACGCATTCTCGTCTAATAAAATAAATAACGTTCACTGTTCTTTAACAAACAAAAAGGTTCCATTTACATAGTACTTGTATTATTGAAAATCTTTTAAAATAAACTGTTTTCACTCTGACAATTTTCAAGTCAATTGTACTAAAAACAACCCCACCTTTTCATCTACTACAGCAGACAGTGATAAAATAGTTTAGTCTAGTTTATGCAAGACGATTTAACCACTTCACTGTCCCATGAGTCATATATGAATATTTCAATTTTAAGTATTTTCGCGGACAGAGAAGTTGATAAGCAATATTTGTCAGCCATAGAAGCGAAGTACTGAAATAAATTGGATCTTTGATTATGCACATTAGTTCTCTGGTATATTTACGCAAGAAGACAGACTAATTTATTTCAAACCATAAACCAAGCAAATGAAACTTAAACCTGTCTCAAAACATATTAATTGTACGAGACGTGAGGAGCGTTAGTAAATCTTGTTAAAAAGGAAGTATGAAATCTGTAAGTTGTGCTACTTGTATCGTTCTCAATAGATATACGAGTAGGAACTTTGTCTCAACTGCCGCTGAACAGTTTGGCAAAAAGCCAAGAATTTGACACAATCTTTCGTCCAGTTTGTCATTGTTGCTACGCTTAGATTGTATAAATCTGATAACGTCAGCTGAATTTTAGTAAGAGGTTTTCTAGTATGTTATTCTTTACGTCGAATATAAGATAGATAATAAATGACGCTTTTACATTATTCGTACAAATGATTAAATTACGAGATTTTTATATAGGATAAGTGTGACAAACGAGTACACAGTTCACCTGATGGTAAGTGGTTGCTGTGGCAGTAGATATCTACATCTATCCTCGACTACGAATCAATATCTAGATGCGTTGCCACCCCTGAGAACTAAGATCCCCGTTTTCAGTAAAAAGGGTCTCCAGTTCTACATTCAACTTACGTAACACAGCAGCGTTAAGCTGTTATTTTACAGTGGTATTCTGTAAGAGTGTGGTACTTCCTCGGTCGAACCGACCCAGTCGTGATTCATCTATACTATTAATATAGCTGTAGCATGGCTCTACCACATCATGTTAGTGGTGACACTTATTGATGTGTAATGTGTTTTAAAGTTGGGGTCATATAGTATTTGCATTGGGTTTTATATGAACTGGAGTGGGATCCTCGCAGGTACCACCGAATTATCAATTAACATTTTACATGGTTATGTATGGCATGAAGCCGTGGTAGCTCAGATGGTTAGCACTCGCTGTAAATTTCACACTACGCGAGCAAACGGGGTTCGATACCCGCCGGCACCAATGAAATTTTTATTTGCAATTTTAAGAGCTGATTTACCACGTGCTCGGTGGTGAAGGAAAACATCGTGAGAAAAACTGCATGTCTAAGAAATAAGAAAAATATGTTTCGAAGACATGTGAAGTTCGCCAACACGCATTGGGGCAGCACGGCGGACAATTCTTTGCCCTTAAACCCTCTCAGAAATGAGCGGGTGGTCTGTACCCAGGAGTGATACGCATTGTAGACTTTATTTTACATAGTGCTTATACAACGTGCCTGGTGGTAAATGAAAACGTACTGGGGAATCCTGTACTGCATATAAATTAATAATAATATAGCGAGAACTACCTTCAGTTGGATTCTTTCAAGTTCCAAATTTTTTCAATAATGGGAAAAGACTTGTTTTGGGTTCAGCGGTGGGACATAAATGTGCTCGTATTTAACAAGAATAGACGCTTAATTTACA